ACCTTGTCCTAGTTCTTGGTTTTCTCTCATACCTTTGTGATTGTCCAAGCAGCCTGACTTATTCTCAGTAGGTCCCAGTTGTTGAGGGTGTGCCAAGACCTGTCAGAGTTTCAAAGGGAAGAATCTCAGTCAGCACCTAGTTTTTGGCTGATTGGAAACCAGACCCTCTGGCAGCAGCTTTCAAATTATGCAAATTTATATAGTCCTATGGTACTGCAATTGTAAACCCTGCTGACCTCTAGACTAAGTGATCTACAGGTGTCCCTTGTGTGAGAGTAGTGAAAATCGGAGCTCCTGGTGAGTATATAAGCTCCTTTCTTGGAGGTAACAGTAAACTGTACTGAGACCAAGGGAGAGCACATAGTTGGTGTCCCTTGGCCTACATTCCCTGAGAACTCCTTCATAACCTCTAGATGTGTGGCAAACTAGAAGCCTGGCCCTCAGGCTAAAACTCTAGGATGAGTAAATAGGTCTTTTTCACAGGAAGACTGCGATGTGTTTGCTGTCTGGGGGGTGCCCTGGGGATAGTAGCCTGCCAAAAATTGTCTCTCCAATTGTTTCAGTCCCATGGGACCCAGAAAAACAAACTCTCACACACACACACACCCCCCAACCAGCCACCAGAACCAGGCAATCAAGGGGAATCCCCTGTGTCAACTGTGTGTACCTGCTAGCTTTCATGGGGCAGGGGGAGAGCACAGGACTGGGTGCACCCATCAGCTTTGGCAGGGTTGCAGGTGAGGGCAGGGCTGGGACACATGCCTGTTAGCACTGGAGGGGCAGCTAGAGAGACAAATTGTATCTTTTAAATTTTATCTTCTAATTGTTGTTGGTCTTTAAATATATATTTGGTATTTGGTTTTTTTTTTTAAAGATCTTATTTATTTATTTGTCAGAGAGAGAGAGCACACAAGCAGGGGGAGTGGCAGGCAGAGGGAGAAGCAGGCTCCCTGCTGAGCAAGGAGCCCAATGCAGGACTCCATCCCAGGACCCTGGGATCATGACCTAAGCCGAAGACAGACGCTTAACCAACTGAGCCACCCAGGCGTCCCTGTATTTGGTATTTGTATATGACTTTGTATCAAATTATTTTGCGAAATTCACTTACCTCCAGTAAAATGCTGAGTGGAGAAGCTGATGGCAGACATGCTTATGTTGTTCTTAATATTTCACTAGTAAATATAATACTGCTCGGGCGCCTGGGTGGCTCAGTCGGTTAAGCGGCTGCCTTCGGCTCAGGTCATGATCCTAGGGTCCTGGGATCGAGTTCCGCATCGGGCTCCCTGCTCAGTAGGGAACCTGCTTCTCCCTCTCCCTCTGCCTGCCTCTCTGCCTACTTGTACTCTCTCTCTAATAAATAAATAAAAATCTTTAAAATATATATATATATAATACTGCTCTAGGTTTTTAATAGAAAAACTATTAGATTAATAAAATTCCCTTTTATTCCTAGTTTTCCAAAAGTTTTGATCCATGAATGAGTGTTGAATTTTTTTGTGTTTGTGTGTTTGTTTGTTTTTTAAAGATTTTATTTATTTATTTGAGAGAGAGAGCACATGAGAGGGGGGAGGGTCAGAGGGAGAAGCCGACTCCCTGCCAAGCAGGGAGCCCGATGCGGGACTCGATCCAGGGACTCCAGGATCATGACCTGAGCCGAAGGCAGTCACTTAACCAACTGAGCCACCCAGGCGCCCAGTGTTGAATTTTATCAAATGCATTTTCTGCATCTCCTGAGATGATAATATGGTTTTTCTCCTTTATCATGATAATATGGTGAATTACATTTATTGTGTTCATATGTAAACCCAACCTTGCCTTCCTGGGATAAACCCAATGTGATCATGATATTTATTCTTTTTGTTTATCATTGGAGGAAATTTGGTAATATTTTGTTTAGGATATTGTGTCCTTGTTCATGAAAGAGATTGGCCTGATATGTTCCTTAGTTGTAATAACCTTACATGGTTTTGGTATTAAGGTGATGCAGGCCTCGTAGAAGTTTGGAAGTGTTTCATCTTTTTATATTTCTGGAAAGATTTTGAAAGATTGATGCCATTTCTTAATTGTTAAGAAATATTTGGAAGAATTCAGTGGTAAAGCTTTCTGGCATTAGATGGTTTTTTGTGCATAGGTTTTTAATTACAGATTCAGTTTCTTTCATTGTAAATATAGAGTAGTTCAGATTTTTTCTGGTGCCAGTGCTGTTAAGTTTTGCAATGAGTTTATCCTTTTTATCTAAATTTTTATAAGTTTTGGCCAAAAGTTGTTTTTAATATCATCCGATTATCTTTTTATGCCTGTAAGATCTGTAGTAATGTCTCTTTTTTCATTACTAGTATTCATTATTTAGGCCTTCTTCCTGTTTTTGTCAAGTCCTGCATTGGGCTCCATGCTGGGTGTGGAGCCTACTTAATAATAATAATAATTTTAAAAAGTCAGTGTAGGGTCTTATGATTGTTACTTTGAAAGCATGTATCTTTTTCTCTCTGGCCATTTTTATTATTTCCTCTTTGGTTTTCAGCAGCATTTTCCTATAACGGGCCTAGGTGTGGCTTCATTTATATTTATCCTGCATGGGGTTTGAAGGCCATCTTGAATTTGTTGCTTGATGTCTTTCATCAGTTTTGGAAAGTTTTCATTCAGTGTCTTAAAATATTACTTATGTTTCTGTCTCTGCTTTGCTTCTGAGTCTACATTTACATGAATGTTAAAACTTTTCACCATGTCATATATGTCTCTTACACTCTTTTCTGTATTTTCTTATCTTTTTTTTTTTTTTTGCATGCTTCAGTGCAGATATTTTTCTGTGGGCCCATCTTTTATTTTCTTAATCCTCTTTTCTGTTGTGTTTAATAGCTTGCTACCCTTTCTAGTGAATTCTCAATGTGAGACATTTTATTTTTTAGTTCTAGTATTTCCATTTGATTCTTCTATATAGGTTCAAAATCCTCATCTTGTCATCTCCTGGACCTATTAATCACAGTTATCTTAAAGTCTATAGTTGTTATTAGGAAGAGTGTTAGTCTGATATAAGCTTCTCAATTGTAGCAGTAAGCAGAAACCTTACCCACACCATTTTTAAAGAATAGCAGGGAATCTGGATTCTCATATGAAATCTCTTGGATTTTACATGTTGGTCACTGATTTAAATATTCTAAAAACGTCCTAGGGAGACCAATGAAAACATTTATTCAGGCTGGATCCAGCCAGTTTGTTACTTCTCACCTAGACAATGTGAAAATCAGAAGTGGGGTATTGCACAGTTTCCGCATAGCCTTGCTTACTTGTTTAGAAAAGATTCCTGGGCGGGCAGAGGAGAGAGAGAGAGGCAGGGAGATGGAGGGGAGGCAACAGAAATGTAGATGTTAATGTGTCTCAGGTAGAGGGACTATGAGGTCCTGAGAAGAGATTAAAAACTCTAGATGGTTTTAATAGATGTGAGAACAGAGGGGATGTGTGGCCCACTCCTGGGATGAAGGTGGCAGCAAAATGCCATAGAAGCAGCAGTTCCAGAGTCTAAGCGTACAGCTTATGCCAAACACAGCCTGTAGAGGTCCCCACATGGGACAGGGACACGACTAACAGAGCCCCCAGCCATAAGGAGCCTGGGAGAGAGGAAGACAGGATGTCTTAGCAAAGACCCAAGTGAACCTCTAACCTCACCCACTCACCACTCTCCCCCTTGTCCACTACTCCTAGTCACTCTGGCCTCTATGCCCTTTAAATATGGCAGCCATATCAGGGTCTAGCCATCTCTTGGGAATATTCTTCCTTCAAATATCCACTTGGCTCTTTATCTCACTTTATTCAAGTGTTTGTGAAACTTTACCTCCTCAGCGAGTGCTCAGACAGGCCTGATCATCCTCCCTCAAATAGCTCACACCCACATACCAACCCTTCACTTTCTATCCCCATTTCCCTGCTCTTATCTTTAGCAATTATTGGGTAATCCTCATTATTTGAGGATTCCATACTTGTGAATTCACCTACTCGCTAAAATTTATTTGTAGCCCCCAGGTCAATACCCACAGTGGTTTCAAAGTCATCTGCAGACATGCATAGAGTGGTGGAAAAAATTGAGCCACCTAACAATGCGCATTCCCAGCTAAGGTCCAACACCATGACACTGCCTTCTGGTTTCAGCTCTCCTACTATTAACAAGTATCCTTTTCATGGTCTGTTTAGGGCCATTTTTTGTTGTTGTTGCATTTTTGTACTTTTTGTTGATTCTGCTATTTAAAATGGCTCGCAGGGGCGCCTGGGTGGCTCAGTTGGTTAAGCGACTGCCTTCGGCTCAGGTCATGATCCTGGAGTCCCGGGATCGAGTCCCACATCGGGCTCCCTGCTCAGCGGGGGGTCTGCTTCTCCCTCTGCCCTCTTCCCTCTCGTGCTCTCTGTCTCTCATTCTCTCTCTCTCAAATAAATAAATAAAATCTTTAAAAATAAAAAAATAAAAAAAAATGGCTCCCAAGCAGAACCGAAGCCCTGGCCAGTGTCCCTAAGCACAAGAAGGCTGTGATGTGTCTTACGAAGAAAGTGCGTGTATTAGATAAGCTTTGTTCAGGCAATGTTAATGAATGAATGATATATATTAAATAAGAGGCCTTTAAAGAAAAATACACATAAGGCAAGGTTATGTGTTGAGTAGTTGACAAAAATGTTATGACCAAAGGCTTGTAGGACCTTAAGCCTGCATTTCTTCTAGGAACAATGTTTCAGTATTTGCTAATTCAGCAACTTTATAGAACCGTTATAACTGCTATGAATAAGGAGAATCTACTGTACCTGCTATTATTTTTATATATTTGCTTATTATTTCTCTCTTCCACCAGAAGGTAAGTCCCAGGGGGGAAGAGGCTTTATCTAAACTGCTCAGAGCAGTGATTAGAAGAAGGGCCAGCAAGCACATGGTAGGCCTTCAGTAAACATTTGTGAAATGAGTGAATGATGGCAGATCAAGCCTGCACAATAATTATTTTTAATTTCAGGACTGAGAAGAAGTTTAGGAAGGAGACACCTGAGAAGAATATTTATTTGTTTAAAATGAATTAAATCATGCCCCTATTTGTGGAAAGAGTCTGGGACCAGTGTGTGCAAAGGTCCTGAGGCAGGAGGAGCCTTTTGCTTGCCTGATGTTTTCAGAAGATGGCAGGGAGACCAGTGTGGCTGGGATAGGAAGTCAGAGTGGTAACCAGAGAGGATTTATTCACCTCTCCACGCCCACCACTAAGAATCGTGCCCAGAACATAGTCAGTGTTCAGAGAAAAATGTATCAAATACTCACATGTGACACTTGAATGCCAAAGCCGGGGATGGTAGAGAAAACCCTGAAGAGACAAATTAAGTTTCTTCCTATCCCAGCAGAGTGGAGGACTTGAAATAGAAATGAAATAGAGTTGTTAAATTGTCGCCAGTCAAATGGGGATTGTGACCTCACACACCCCTGCTGTGGCCCATAGGACACCTCACCCTCACTGGGGCCTGGGTTTCAGGGGTGACTTCACAATGGCCAGCGTAGTGCCCTGCCCACTGCCACAGTCCCAGTCCATCATGCTTACCACCCTGTGGCTGTTGCTCAGCTTCGCCGTCCCCTTGCTGGGGTCCCACGCTTCCTTCAGCTGTCCCAACGAGAAGCAATGCCAAAAAGCCCTCCTCTCAGACAATGACATCTTTTTGCCCTGCAACTCTTCTGGGGCACAGTGGTACTTCTTCTTCCTGCAAGACAAGACCAGCTGGTCTGACAAAGTCTCCAGTGTTTCCAACATCGAAATAATACCCGAAATCGGCATTCTCATCCGAAACCCGTTGCCCTCCCAGACGGGCTTCTACCATTGCCAGGACAAGAATGGCGTCCAAGTGTTGCAGTACGAGATTGATTTCCAGGATGTCAGCACCCTGCATATTACCCACAAAGGCCTGGGCCAAAAGCCCCTGCCAAACGAGACCCTGAGTCTGGGTGGTAAGGAGCTCATCTTCACCCAGTGGGACCCCTGGCAGGATTGTAACCGCTGTGGGGAGCCGGGGGAGCGGAAGCGCCTGGGCTACTGCTACATCGAGGAGCCCCTGCAGGAGCCCATGCCCTGCTGGCTCTACCTGGGACATCTGAAGCTGTGGTCTAGCCGCTTGCAGCCCGAGATGCAGGTGGAGGCCTGCCAGGTCCCGTGTAAAATATCCACGTTGGATTACGTCACCTTTGACAACTTTGAGATCAATGAGGATTCAGGATCTGTGTGGCTCACCTGCCCCATGGGATCTATCTACAGGTGACTCTGCAGGCGTCCATTTAAGAGATGGGGAAACCACAGCTCGGAGGGGCACAGTCCTTGTCCAGGGGGAGCCATGGTGACCCTAAATCCTACCCACTTGGCTGTGGGGTCCCCCTTGCCCTCCTTCCCCCACAGGCCTGTGGCAGCCCCTCCCTTGCAAAGGGGGAGCCCGAGCAACCTCTTGGGGCCTCTGCAGCCATCTGCTCTGTCAGATCTGGTCCCACCACCTCCGTCTGGTGTTCTTTTCCTTATTCCCGCTGTGACTTCTCTTCTCTTTCCCACAATCTCTTTTGTCTCCCTTCCTCCTTTTTTCCTCCTCCTTTAAGTATAAAAGTAGCACGTAGTCTCTACAAAGCCCCCACAGTTCAGGAAAGTACATGAGCCCCTGCTAGCTAGCCTGGGACACCTGCTCCATGTCATTTGCCAGACAAGCAGTTCCCAAGTGCCAGTCATTGGGAACCCCAGAGAAGAATCAAGAGAGGTGGGGCGCCTGGACGGTTCAGCCAGTTAAGCATCCGACTCTTGATCTCAGCTCAGGTCTTGATCTCAGGGCCGTGAGTTCAAGCCCTGCGTTGGGCTCTATGCTGGGTGTAGAGAGAAGAGAGGTCACTGAGGCTTCAATAGTTGCCACGTCTCTAGGGAGCTGAGTAGAGTGGCATTCCATGTGAGGTTTATGTCTTGGACTCTGGATTCAGCCAGGCCTGGTCTCCACACTTACCAGCTTTGTAACTTTGGGCCTGTGGCTTCTCTCTGGGCCTCAGTCTCCCCGCCTGTTGAATGGGGGTTGTATGAGTTTCCTCGGGCTGTCATCACCAAATACCACGCACTGGGTGGCTTAAAACAACTGAAATGTGGTCTCTTACAGTTTTGGACGCCAGAAGTCCAAAGTGAAAGCTTCACCAGGGCCCTGTGCCCTCTGAGATGCTGGGTGGAAGCCGTCCTTGCTTCCTCCTTGCTTCTGGGAGTGGCGGGCAATCCTTGGCCTTCCCTGGCTTGCAGCTGCGTCCCCCCAATGTGCCCGTCATCACTTGGCCTTTTTCCTGTGTGCTTGTGTCTGTGTCTGTCCTTTTCTTTCTTTTTTTTTTTTAAGATTTTATTCATTTGACAGACAGAGACACAGCAAGAGAGGGAACACAAGCAGGGGGAGTGGGAGAGGGAGAAGCAGGCTTCCTGCCGAGCAGGGAGCCCAATGCGGGGCTCAATCCCAGGACCCTGGGATCATGACCTGAGCCGGAGGCAGACGCTTAACAACTGAGCCACCCAGGCACCCCTTTCTGTCCTTCTCTTAAAAGGACACGGGTCATGTTGGATTTAGAGCCCGGGGACACTTCAGTCAGACCTCATCTTTTTTTTTTTTTTAAATATATATATTTTTTTATTTGATAGAGACACAGCAAGAGAAGGAACACAAGCAGGG